TGAGCTTGGCTCGCTCGTGTTCGGCTCGTTTACACCCATATGCGCAAGACAAAAGTTCACCTTTTGTCTCAGCATTAATTGTCATTTTATCATCTCAAAAATACATTTTTGTTGCTCATTCCTTCCTCAGATGATTCTGCCTCTTACGCTTGTCCCACTATTAACGTGTGTACTCCTCAAGGGAACATCTTGCGAGAAAAATGATTTCTTTTTTGTCTCATAACTAAGTTTCATTTTTCTGAGGCATAACAAAAATAGAAGTATAACAAAGAGGATTTATTTGCTAATTTAGGTACATAACGTGATATTTTATGCATCTTTGTTGATCTAAATATCTTTTGTAAACGTAACTTTAGTTGTCTTCTCTTTCGCCTAAAAAGTCCATTTTCGAACAATGTCTCCACTGCATCATCTGAAGGACTACAAACCTGGTCTCTGCACAAGAATCCTTAAAGTATATCTACTAAAAAACATAGATGTTATGAAATCTGCAAGTTCTGTTTTTTATTTTATTTTATTTTATTTTATTTTATTATGATTATTGTATAAAAAATGATCTTAATTTATTAGAACTAAATGAAAACATGACACTAAATAGGACGCAATGGAGAAAACGGATTCATGCAGCTGACCTCACGTAGTGGGATTAAGGCTTTGTTGTTGTTGTTGTTGTTGTATGATCATTGCATACCCTTTTCTTGGTCAGCTAGATTTTCCATGGATCTTTCATGCATTATTTATCAAATTTCTTTAATAGCATTACTCCCAGTTACCATTTGTCCTTGGAACACATCTCCTCATCTCCATTTACTGTTAATCTTTTCGGAAATTTACATACTTAGGACACAATTCTAATGTATTTTCATACCTCACACCTAAACTTTTGCATTTACATGGATAGCACTTTGGTGCTTTAAACTTATACATGAAAAATGCGTATTTCACTTATAAAAGTGATAATAGTGTTATTTTTGATGTGACATGAAAGATTTGAATGTTATATGTTTAAATATGAAAGTTCAGGTGTGAGATATCTAAATACGCAAGAATTGTGCGGAGATCACTTTGAGTGTGGGGGAGAACATTGTTGGGGAAAAAAGAACTTTGTGAGCCATTTTCCATTATGAAAACTATACTCTGCAGATCAACTTATCCTCAACGCTTCTATCTACACCACAGGTTGTGGGCACTGTAGGATATGCAGCACCTGAATATGTCCAGATGGGGAAACTAACATCAAAGAGTGATGTTTGGAGCTATGGAGTAGTCCTGTATGAGATCATTACTGGAAGAAGGTCTATTGAAAGAAACCTTCCAAAGAATGAGCAGAAACTCTTAGATTGGGTGAAGCACTATGCCACTGACCCCAAAAAACTTCACATTATAATTGATCCTAAACTTAAGGGCAACTACTCAATAAAATCAGTTCAGAAGATTATTGCTTTGGCAAATCGATGCTTGAGGAAGAGACCGAAGGCCCGTCCTTCGATGAGTAAAGTTGTTGAGATGCTTGATGAGATCATTGAGATGCCAAATGAAGAATGTATGAGAAGTGTAGCATCATCAGATGTAGGAGAAGGTGATGATGAAGGGAAGATTGGGCTTAAAGATAGTATTATAAATCGCATCAAGGTTTTTGATTTGAAGGACTTCGGTAGTCTCAGGAACAGAACTATGGGGAAGTTGGATTGGAAAGGTTTAGGTCCAGGATCTGTAGTGGAACTGGCAAGAGCATGGGGATAGATTTGTAAGAATAGCTTATTTTGTTTCCATGAAGGAGGAGAGAGCAAGTGTTGTAAACATTGTTGGATGAGTTAACATATTATGGAAGCTTGTATTCTCCACTTTTTTTTGGGGTATTTACATAACTCCAAATTCCCATGTATTTATATATGTAACACCTAAATTTTACTTTTCACTTTCACACCACTTAAAATTTTCATATAACATAAAACATACTATTATTTTAACTTTAAAAAAAAAATGAAATACACCATTAGATGTACAAATAAGGTGGCATATACGTAAAAATTGAAGGTTAGGTGTTAGATATATAAATACATAGGAATTGAGTGGTATACTAATAAATATAATCATTTTAAACAACAAGATCAATCAAATCATGGCTTGTTACATCCATGTCATTCATTAAACCCTACGAATGTTGGATAGATTAAAGGAATGAACTTATTTAAGCAAGTCAAATAGTTTAATTAATGTTTCAAATTAACAAAATTAATCTCTTGCTCTGAATCATTTATTGTTTTCAGACTATGTTTTGCATCATTGAGCTTAATAACTTGGAGGATGGATAACCATTGTTCCAAGGACTATGAAAATTGAACAAGAATCTCTAAAAATATACTAACAATTCAGTTGTTATTTTTCTTTCAACATGAAACAATTTTACACACCTTTCTAATTCACTAAAGAATAAAATAACATTCACCAAGAATTTAAAATTCACAAAAACAAAAGAAGCTGAAGATTCTCAAAACTGCCCGCAAGATGAGATGATTGGACAATAACATTGATGCATCACAAAATATACAAAAAATGTAACAAATATGGAGGCAGTAGTTAAAACCTGCACTCAATGCTGCAAAAAACTCTTAATAGACAACAAATGTAGCTCAAACGATAGGCTGAGCTTCTACTTCACAAATGGAATCAGAGGGTCTTGGATATGTCTTCAAACTCCCACCTTCCATGCTTTTCCGTCGAGGCGCCTGAGCTCCATGACGAAAACTTTGAGTGTGCACAGTCTTCTCCGCTTGGTTTTTCTTCTCCAAATCCTTCGTGGATTGAACCTGCTCGAGCACAGCTACCACTGCATCCATGCTAGGCCGAAGCCTCGCCTCAGCTGACAGGCACTGGAGAGCAAGCAAGGCAGTTTTCTGAGCTCCGATAAGCGAGTACTGTCCCTCAAGCTTGCTGTCCAAGACTCGGAAGATCTTGCGCTTGCTAGTGAGATAGGGCTTCGCCCATTCGACTAGATTGTGCTCGCCTGACGGTCGGTTCTTGTCAAGCGCACGCCTACCCGATAACATCTCTAAGAGGACGACGCCAAAGCTATATACATCACTCCTTGCTGTCAAGTGACCTAACAATGCATAAAAAAGGTTCATTTGGTCATCATCATCATCATCATCATCATCATCATCATCATCATCATCGTTAGTATAAAAAGTCTAATCATTACTTATTTTAGACCCAAGTTTTATAAAGCTGAATACATCAATTCTCATCAATACTAGATGATATATTTCGATCCGCACAAAGATCTTTGATCAATCTAAATTTTTTCGGGGCATTTACATTCATTCCACCCAATTCCTATTTATTTAAATATCTTGCACCTAAAATTAACTTTTGACATTTATATAACCGAATCTTTCTAAGAATTGAGAGGTATGTATGTAAATCTTCTTGTTTTTTTTCTATGTTTTTTTTCTATCTTTTACATATATATATATATGCAGTCATATTTCTATTTTCGATTGATGATGCATTTATTGCATATAGACAATTAGCAGCAAGTAATCATGAACTAGGACCCAGATGAAGGCATCTTCTTAGAATACTTGTCAACCATGATAAGATTAAATGCCACAAGTTGTTACAAGAATAATCAATGGATGATCAGCAAAGAAAATTGGTCATGGAAGTCAAGCTTGAAATACATTACATCTAGAAAGGGTTGACCTTTCTATAACGGGGGGTTTAGTAGGCCATAGATGACAGAGATGCCTGTAATAAATATACGCGGAAGGCCTGCCCACAATTGGATTTGCATTAATGGCTAAAAGTGATCTACAAGTAGATGAGAACCATATGAAAGTAATATCTTATTCTCATACATTTTCTACCATATGAAACCATAAAACTGAACCTGCCGAGCACATTTGGCTCAATTATTTTGGTTTTAAAATAAAGATTCCATTTTTGTTTTAATAATTTGAATATTTGATTTTCGGTTTTTGGCTTTCAGATTAATTTTCATATTCATTAAACTAAGGAAACTAAAAAATTGAATAATATTAGGATTAAAAAATTAAATACATTTGAAATGAAAATAAATTATGCATATGACATTTATTTTAATTTAGTTTGAATTTTTAAAGATATGTATAAGAGATAAAAAAAGAGAAATAAAATTATAATTTTGAAATAGAAGCCTAAGTTTTAATTATTTTAGTTTCAAGCAGAACCAAATGCTAAATTTTGGTTTGCTCCAAACCGAACCAACGAAATCAAATTACACTTCATTTCGGTTTGGATCAGTTCTAGTAAAAGTTTATTCGTTTTAATTTTTGGATTTTGGATTTTAATTTCATTCACTTTAAACTATTTTGTAAACAAATCCGTCGAAATTAACCGTTTGCACATCCCTACAAAAGACAATGTAAGAACTTACCAGTTGCAAGGTACTCAGGAGCTGCATATCCATATGTTCCCATAACTCTAGTAGAGACATGACTCTTATCACCAGTAGGTCCATTTTTCGCCAACCCAAAGTCAGAAAGCTTTGCATTGTAGTTCTACAAGTAAGCATATTTTGAGAAAATGAGCAACAATTGTAGCATCACTACAAAGACAAAAAAACGTTGAAATTTAACTGATAACTCTACATACTGTATCAAGGAGTATATTTGAAGTCTTAAAATCACGATAAATGACGCTGATTTCGCTGCCATGCAGAAACGCCAATCCTCTGGCAGCCCCGAGTGCGATCTTCATTCGAAGATTCCAGGAAAGTGGTTGAAAACATGATCCTCCTGCTCCAATGTTTAAGTAATTTAGGAATCACATACTATGGATGATGTATATGCGCTCCATAAAACCATTATATTATCTTATTTATTAACAGTAGAGCTTACGTCTAAACAGATGGTTCTCAAGGCTCCCTCTTGGCAAAAACTCATAGGCCAGAAGGCGATGGTCATCCTCCAGACAGAACCCTATTAGCTTTACAAGGTTAGGGTGATGAAGCTGGCCTAAATAATTAATTTCTGCCTGCAAAATTAAGATAATAATAATAAATATATATTTTAAGATCAGGCAAATCAAAAGGAATAGTAGAAGATTAGAAGATTAGAATATTTGAATAAATGATAAGGTAAATCAGAAGGAATAATTAAAGATTGGAATATTGGAATAAATGATCAAATAAGGGGCAGTTTCATGCATACCAAAGGTGCCATATATGTAAAAGTAGAAGTTTAGGTGTTAGATATGTAAATACACAGGAATGAAGTGGTATGTATGCAAGCTTCCCAAAAGTTAAATCTTGCTAAATTCTGATAAACTGACCCATATATATTTTCATGCATAGTTAAGGGTGCCATATATGTAAAAACTGAATTTTAGGTGTCAGATATGTAAATACACAGGAATTAAGTGGTATGAATGCAAAACTCCCAAAAGTTCAATCTTTGCTAAATTCTGATAAACTGTTTGGCTATTATTTCAAAATTTAAGATTAGTTGCCCCCAAACTGTAAATGCTGGGATTCAGCAAATCCTGGTAATCGATCCAAGTTGGATCTTAAATCCCCAAAAATCTTGTAGATGGTGATTTCAGTTAAATCTTGCTAAAATCATGCCTAAAATATGACACAAAACAGCCCCTGAATCCAATACCAGCCATATGATTTCAAGCAAATCAAATAATTGCAGCATACACTACCTACCAGCCATTCTCTGTGCCCCTGAAAACCTTCCTGGTTGAGCCTCTTCACAGCAATAACCATACCAGTCCCTGCTTTTGCCGGTGCAAGGGTTTGTTCATCGATCCAGCCCTTAAAAACAGAACCAAACCCACCCTCACCCAACACACTGTCTGGCCGAAAATTTCTCGTCGCGCATTTGAGCTCATTAAAGGTGAAACTCTTCACATTTACTGACTGCAGGATCTCTCCCTCACTACGATAGGTTAGAGAAAACGAAGCAGACGAGATATAACTGCTTCCACAACTCAGTCGACTCACATCATGGCTTCTAGTCTTCGAATTTGTTCCTGCGCATACCATAAATCACTCATGCATCAGAGCAAGCCAATTTCCTGAAACAAAATCTCTTCATAAGTATAATAGAAAACAAAATAATACCTGAGGAAGGAGCGCTGAATGCGGGATTCACAGCCTTGCCATTAGGGCTCCAGCAGATTCCCATCTCAAAACCAGTAATAGTAACTTCCTCACCTTCTACCTCCCCACTAAACCCCAAAGCAGCACATTACAGGATCTCCAATGCGCAGGTGAAGAGCCGAAATCTTCAGAGAATCGAGCCCCTACTGAAACCTCAACAGATCGTCTAAGATTTAAGACATAAACGCAGCTCCAAATCCGTCGAAGCAAAAGACCAAATCGCTGATCGCTATCAATAGGGTTTTCTGCTTGCGCTCTCCGCGACTTCCTTTCCCGAATCACGCCCCTAGGGTTGAAAAAAGCGCCACTCTGCAGCTCCAAGACGACGATGAAATGGGGCATTAATGGCGGGCGCTCGCATCAACGGCCAAACCCCGTTCGAGATTTTTATTTTTTATTTTTTATTTTTTTATTAAGAATTTTTGTATTTTTTTGGCTTGGCGGCGTTTCTTCCTTGAATCGCCACCGTCCGATCGTGATAGACGTGTAAGGACCGCACTTTTGAACCGTGAACTGGGGACCAACTGGTGGGACCCCTCGAGCGTCGCCCACGTGGCTGGAATTAGTGTGGTGTCTTCTGTTTACGTTTTCAGCGGATTCGACCGTGGGGGTTAGGTCGACCGGGTTTGAACCGGAACGTTCGGTTCGTTTTGGAGACGTCAGGGTGGCGTGGTTGCTGGGTTATGCATGGATCGATCAATGGGAAAGAGGGGCGAGGCCGTGCGCCGTGCGGGCGCCGCCCACGGGAGCTTTCCGTGCGGTCAGAAGAAAAGACAAAAAGGAGAGCTTTTGGTGACTTTGAGAGTGGGGGTAGTTGGTAATTATATTAGATTTATGACATTGTTAAAACTTTCAGAAAAATGAAGCTATAAAAAAATTTATTTGAATTTTTTCATAGGCATTGAATGTATTTTCTACTTGAAAGATTTTTTTTGGGGCATATAGTTTGTGTTGATTTTCTTAATCATGACATAAGTTTTATAAAGGTGTGTAGATTATGAGTGATAATTACTTATATTTATGGATTGTTTATTGGACTCGTGATTCTACTTAGTTCGAATTTGAACAAGTTGAAAACCTGATTGAAACCTAATTCAAGCCTCATTTCAACCAAGGTTCCGACTTAAATTAAAACCTAATTCAAATTTGATTTCAATCAATGTTGAATTAAATTTAGCGTATGTTTGAGATAGTTCCATCTGCTTTGTGTTTCAGTCACTTGAATAATAATATTAATGCAATTTCTCATTTACTTTATATTGATAATATTATGATTTTTGGCAATGGTGGTGTTCCTTTTCTTAAGCTTATTTCTCAAATTTTTGAATATTTTAGTGAAGCTACCAATCTTAAAATAAATGCTTCTAAATCTAATATTACTTTCTCTAAATTGGTGGATGCTCTACTCAGCATAATATTTCTATCCTATGTGGTATGGCTATAAGACCTCTACCATGGAATTATCTTGGTATTTATATTAAACCTTTTAAACTTCTCATTCATAATTGTTACTTATTTATTGATAAAATTAAAATGTGGTTGATTGGATGGAAGAAAAAACTCCTATGTTCTACGAGTATGCTCTAGCTTATTAAATTTTCAATATGGAGTTATTTATACTATTGTTTATGTTCTACTATTTTACTTAAAGGTTTAAGAAAGAAGATTTCTTCTTTGATATCTAATTTTCTTCAAAGTGCCGAAGAAAGTAGAAAACTTCACATTATTGTTTGGGATAAATTTAATTTGCCTAAACATTGTGGAGGGTTTGGTCTTCCTTCTATTTATACTATTAATACTATTTGTTAGACCAAAATCATATGGGAATTTTATAATTTTAATTCTATCTTACCAGATTAGTGTTTTAATCATTATGGTTATATATGGAAGATTTCTCGCTCAAAAATTTCTCCTTTTTGGAAAGATTTTACAAATGTGACTAAAAGAATTAGATATTTTTTAAATTTTCAAGTTATTGCTAGTTGCTTTTTTTTCTTTTATGACCATTGGTTAATGGGTTATCTTGAAAAGAAAACTTTAGTGATATTACCTTCAATTGGTTTATCTTCCTTATATGACTAAAATTAGTGATGTCCTAATTGATAATTGTTGGAATGTGGATCTTTTTTGTTAATGCTCATGTTACTTTTATTAATGATATTGGTAAAATTCTCATTTATTATTACAGTTATTAAGTTTTTGTTGTTGTTTTTCATTTTATAGAATTGTGGCTGCTTTCAGTTGTTGTTTTGTGAATTAACTACAATTTTGTCATTGGCTTTAAGATCTACGGGCTTTGAGGTTGATGTAGATGTTGTTGGTATTTGTTGTTGAAGTTGATGGTGTTGTTGATGCTGGCATGGTACACTTGGTGTTGTTTATTATTATTGTTGGTTTTGCTTTTTTTTTTTTTGTTTGATTATGGTGTTTTTAGTGTTTTCTTATTTTTCTTTTAACTGAACTGTAATCTTAGTTTACTCATTTTAACTCACTATTTTTCTTCTCACTAAAGCTGGGTGTAACCCTCTCCTTTTCCAAAAAAAAAAAAAAAAAAAAAGTTAATATTAAATATTAACATATTTACATATAATCGGAAATTAACCATCAAAAGATATCTAAAATTTGCCCAATACATATAATAATCTTACCCTAAATATATAAATTCAAGGAAAACACATGCAAATTATCCTCCAAAGCCTTCCCAATTATATATATATATAT